ATTTATGGTGAAACTTAGAGAGGAAAGCCATGTTACATGGTTTTAATTGGGAGTTCCAAAAGTAATGCGTGATTTTAGTAACAAACACCTTCAAGTGTGTGATGTGTAGTTGATAATGATTCAAAATTGTTGTCGATCAACAAATCAATCCAATTTAAATGTACTTGCAATACTTTGTTTCGAGTCGGTTCTAGTACTAGTGTTATTGTAGTGCTTTTCGCTCGAATGAATTGATGGACCACTGAAACTCATTTACTCTAAGTCCGCTCACCACTGAAGAAGCCCGTTTTTGTATTTATGAGCCCAATTTAGTGGAAGCATATGTAACTGATCTCATCCGTTGAGAATCGATGTTATGTAATCATGTCCATTCTTTCTCTCATATAAATTCTCTCATTTGAAATCCTACCTTCTTTATCATTCCTATTTACTGTTCTGCGACTCCTTGTCAATCGTAAGTCAAATGCCGTCATATGTACACAACTAACTTTGACCCTCTGTTGGTACCTTCACCGACTACAATTGATTTGAGTCATGTTTATACGAAGAGATCAAAGTGGAGGCGGTTAAGACACTAATAAATAAACTAAATTTGACCTAAATCATAAATTTGTAGACAAGAGTAATGAGTACGATATGTCAAAATGGGCTCACTAAACATTTCCTATCCGGAGAAAGCCCAAATCCCTAATGGGTCAAACTCCCAATCTTGTAATAACACATTTTTAAAGATACTAAACTCTTGTTTAATAATATTTTTTATTAGATATTGTGAAATGTAACATGCAAAAAAAAAAAAAAAAAAAAAAATAAAAATAAAAAAATTGCTGTACAAACTACATTTTGGTCAAAGAAACATAAAGTCAACGCCTCTTTCCAAAAACAAATTCTTCATGTTTCATTCACTATTATCAACAACTGTAAAATCAGGTTCCACAGGCTTCAGTAATGCAGTTAGCAACTCCATTTGTGAACCATTCCTCAAACTACAACAACCAAACTCTGCAGCCACCCTCTCCGGTAAAGATGCACATCGATTCACCGCCAACTCCAGCGGCGGCCAATGATGAGCTGTCACCGCTGCAGCCGCCTTCCTCGTCCGGTACCTAAACCATGCAGCCTGTATAGAGCACGCCGCCCAAGTCCTCCACTGATGCGAGTGGAACCTGAACTTGTGCTTGAGCTGCTTGCTGTGCATCTTCCGGAACTGCGACGCCACGAACTTGACGTCGACGGAGGAGAGGGCGAACGCCTCCACCTCGGCGGCGGCGGTGACGGTTCTGGTGGAGGAAGGGAGGGCCCCGCTCTGCCGCCGCAGGTACAGTGCCCAGCTCAGCAGCTCCTCCCCGCAGAAGTCGCCGGGACCTAGGCTGCAAGAATTGAAAAACCCTGTCCGACCACCGTTTGTGGTACAGGATTCGAGGCGGCCACGTAGTATGAATAGCATTTCTATTACGGGATCGCCTTCTCGGATTAGGATGGTGCCCGGTGTGGATAGCATTGGTCTCAATCTTTCGCATATTGCGTCTAACGTGCATGCATCCATCTCGTCGAACAGGGGAACCTGTTTTTAATAAATAAATAAATGATTAAGGCTATGTTTGGATCAAGGAAAATGCCAAGTAATATACATAGATATAGTTACAACAAAGTACAAACTCACTCGTCGAACAAGATCAAAACAAAGTTGGTGCTTGATGTCTCGTCGGAGATCCAAAGGAAGACCGCTCAAAACGGCGTCCTCTTCCACTCCTCTTGTAGTGACCCATTTATACAAATCATATTTACGGACCCTTTCCTTTATTTCACGAGGGAGTTTCCGGTGATGCATCCACTTTTCGGTGTCGTTTCTCCGCACCCTCCATTCTTCCAGCCTAGCGGTCGAAGACTGGAGATACGTCTGAAGAAAAAAAAATCATAAATAAATCCACGTACATTAATTCATCACATGTTTCTCATGTCGTATGTATGAACAAGAGTTGCGGCAACGAGTTTCGAAGTACTTTTACGACTTACTTGCATATTCCCTATGAGCAACGCGAAAAGCACCAGGCCAAGAATCGCTATGGTTATGGCGAAATTAATCTCGCCGATATATGTCGTAGTTACAAGATTCTGCCCGATGGAGCTGTAATAATAAAGATATAAATAACTGGATTTAAATTTTTACAAGAATCAAGAATCAAGAATCAAGATATTCACCTCAGATTTCTGAGACCCCACCAAAGACAATAGAAGTATCTGCTGAGGAAGCTTGAATTTCCAACTTTGTTAGTCAACGCATCGGCATAGATTCCGAAGTTATAGAATTCGCTCCGGGGCCCGCATAATTTGGTAATATTGCTCGATAAAAACCAGGTTATCCTATCCGAATCACCGATCGTGTCGCAGTCGAAATACAAGTACTTGCATTTGTGCCGTTGAAGATCGCATACTTTCTTCCAGCACTCTTCTTGCCTCTCAACTGATAGAAGATACCAGCAAGAACCAATCACCTGCAAAATAGTTATTACAGCATTCATATAATCATATCTTTTATTATTTATTATGTAATTGAACAGATTAAAGATTTAAGTAATATAAACTAATTATTACATGACTGGCAAGCATAAAGAGGAGGAGATTAAAAGCTGCACCGGCCCAAGCAGCTTCCACCACCACACCAGCTGTGCTTATGATTTTCGACGAAAGTGGGAAAATTAGAGACAGCCTCAAAATAAACTGAATTATGATCGTGAGACGAAGCCCGTGTTTTGCACTGATCAATTTCGAGCTTCTCAGACATGGTATTACAGCCCAAATCAACAACTAGGAAAAACACGAATTTAGTATCAGAAAAAAATTCAAAAGACTGTTCGGAGAAAAAAAAAATCAATAATTACTTGCAATACCTGTGGAAGGGGTAGAGCAGATAACAAGTCGAGCCAAAAGTTTCGACGAAGATATTTTGAAGCAATCTTTGAAGAGTCTATAACAAGCTCTCCCCTACCAAATACGCGAGAAGAAGGTGCAACGTATGCTGTCCTAAACCGAACGAGAATCTGAGTTACGTAAAGTGTATCTATAATAGTCCGAATGATGGTGAGAGTTATCTCGAGAGGGATACTTGCTTGCATGCAGGATTCTTCCTTAACACTGGGCAAATAAAAGAAGAGGGGATCGACGAAAAGAGAAACGAGACACGAAATTAGGAAACATTTATTCCATCGGCTGAGAAAAGTTCCTCGTGGATCCAATATCTTGCTGTCAACTATTTCGTAGTCCTCGGAGAATACTCTCGAACGTTTCTTGTCCTGAATAGGTAGTTCGTTCTTCTTACTATCTGAAAATAGGTTTCCGTAGTTAAGGCATATTGCTTGTGGTAGCTTTCCGGTTTCAAGATCATCTTTCAATCTGAAAAAAGGATTTACGAAAAAATCGTTAGTGGAAGCAGAGCATACTAAACTAAAACGTACAGGAATAGAAACAAGATTGAACCACCTTTCGCATTTCGACTTTGTGGCCATGGTCTCGATATAGCCACTCAATAAAAAAATTACAACTGCATCCCCAAACGAGTATTGCCGGTTGTTGGTTGAATTTCGAGATTGATTATCACACGGGATTCCTGGATGAGAATTATATATCATCTGAACAGATATCGTAAGTTCTTGTTTTTGTCTGCTCGAAACTATCTATAGTGTCTTAAATGTTCTTCACCTCGGCCTATATGATGAAAAAGCCGAGAATTTGGCTGCTTGTTTGACAGTATATATCTTCGAATTCCTCTTTTTTGTTATTTATGAAGCAGTATGTAACAGACAAACCACTTGATCCAAATCCGTACTTGGAGACAAGATATGGAATTCTAAGACAAGTAATTAGGATTTATATTTCAGAATTATTTAATGAGAGGAGATTTCGGCATAATAAAACCATAGCAAATATGTTTCATACAACACGAAAAAAAAACCAAATAATAATCGAAAAATCATCTTTCTGCGGAAGAAGAAACTACTATTTTTAAGGATTACAGAGTTTCTATTCAAAAAAGGTCAAAACACCCAGCAGACACGTACTAGTCTTGATTCAAAAAGTCAATTCCACCGTTGCGAATCGAGTGAGAGTTGATCAATTTGTTCCAGGACTCTACTGCTCGGGCAATTCTTGATATCTCTCGTGCATTTATCTCTGATACACAGAATCAGATACGTAAGTGAAAACTCGTTAATCGAGACATTAAAAATATTAAATAGTGTAATGTTTTTTTTTTTTAGCGGCGTACCTAACATGCATAATTCATAATTTGGATGATTTAATTAGTAACGAGGGCGTTCTTCAGCGGGGCTAACTCGAATAGATCTACCATCAAGGTCCTGCACCAAGAAATTTCAACGACATAGCAAGTAATTAAATTATATATTTCCAGTCGTCGAAAGAATTAATCTTGAAAAAAAAAAGGATACTTACGGCTCCGTCCAATGCTTCAATGGCACTGTTGACCTCTTCAGGCGAGCTGTAAGTAACAAAACCGAATCCCCTTGACCTACCACTCTCTCTGTCATAAACAACCCTAGCTTCCTGAACCTGTCCTTGCTCGCTAAACAAGGTCTCGAGGGCAGAATTGTCAACACCCCATGAAAGGTTACCGACGTAAACTCTGTTTGTGTTGCCGGAGCTCGTCCGCCTAGGTCCTCCAAATGGAGTGTCGCTCTTGGCAGGTGGTGGGCCCGAGTTTACCCTCAATGCTCTGCCTTGAAGTTCCTGCAAATGAAATGTACATACTCTCGTAAATCAATTCAACCGACTTAAAAACTGAGCTCGAAAAATTATATACGTCTTATGTTATTGAAAGAAGCTTACGTATCCGTTGAATTGTTGCGCTGCAGCTTCAGCTTCCGCGAGTGAAGACATGGTCACGAAACCGAAACCCCTACTTCTTCCGGATAGCTTGTCGTAGATTACCTGCAAAAAGCTTCATAAACTCAGTAGGTGTACAAATTTAAACTGCTATCTGACTACTCAGGACCTCTTGAATTGACCAATATACCCCTCTCCCGAAATCCATTTATCCAAACACACACACAAAAGCTGGAAAAAGTTTGACACTAAATTGAAAGAAAGACAAACAAACAAGCTGTGAGAAACTACATGAGAATTTCAGACACTCCAAAATTCGAACATCTTATCCATAACATTTTTTTGTTCAATTCCGACACAACGAAACGAGTGAAGTAAGAAACCCCAAATATGACATGTACCATAATATTGTAATAAAAAAATAAAATAAAATAAAATAAAAAAGATGTAACCAGTTGTAGTAGTGTAAGCAGTAGAAAATAAAAGACAACTAACCTCAACCATCTCAACGTTTCCGGCTTGTTCAAACAAACCGGCAAGGGCTGCGCTGTCAACGTTGAACGGCAAATTCCCGACGAAGAGTTTCAAGTCCGGCGAGAAGCTCTGCTCCTCCGGGGCGGAGAAGTCCTCTCCTTCTCCCTCTTCCACCGTCTCGTCCACCTCGGACGAAATTGCGACGCACCTGACAAACCTGGAAGTGGTGTGCGCGAAATTGGTGGCTGGGGAGAGAGCGAGCACGAGTTTAGGCAGGGGTTTGAGAGAAGAGGGAGTGAATAGGGTGGAAGCGGAGGCGGCGGCGGAGGAGGAGGTGTGGTGGAGGGATAGGGTTTGGGGGGTTAGGGATAAGAAATTGAGAGAAGCAGCCATTGCAACTGTGTGTAGTGTGTGTAGAAGATAAGGTTTTGAAACTTCTCTGCTTTGAAATGAGGCTTTTGATGAGGGTTTAATAGAGGGAATGAAGAGATATTTTTATCCAGAGATAAAATTTGATGCGTGGAGGGAATATTTGCATTCACCCCCTTGAAGCTTAGACTATTAGCAAGCATGCCCCAGTTTCTGGAAAGTTGTCTTGTTCATTTCTCTATATAATTCTAATTTCTTCATGGATTTGATATTTTTATAAATGATTTTCCTCTCTTTTTTAAAAAAAATAAAATAAAATTATGCAAAATGATATAGCGGTCACCCAAAGTCAAATTACGAAAAACCCCATCATATTTGTATAATTACAACCACCATCAACTATGAAACTTGTTACATGTCCACCCTTATTGAGTCGCATATAATTTAAAAGATTCCACAAAATTTATCACCGCAAGGGTAGACATGTTCGAAGATCCATGGTTGAGGAGTGGTTGTAATTAACAAAACATGAGTTGTTGTTTCGTAATTTGACCTTATCTAATTCACCCTTACTTAATTTACCTTATACTTGATGAATTCATTTCCTCATCATAGAAGTACAGGGCCCAAATGTAACATAATTCACCAGTTGGGGGCGTCAAATGCAAATATCAAAATCATGTCTATCTAGGGCAACTGATTGCATACATACATTACCGCTTTCTGGAGAAAGAGCAGCCAAAATATCCATTGAAATATCCTCAACAGCTATGTCGATTTGGATATAACAGGACCACAAAAGATAAATGGAAAATGGAAACAAAGAATTGGTTTTTGCGTTTTTCGCTTTGAATTCTACTGTATATTTGGTTTTTGCGTTTTTCGCTTCGAATTCTACTGTATATTTTCGTAGATGAATATTAATGTAATTTTGAAGCCATCACCAGATTTCTACACCCTCAAAGGCTAAGCACAGCAATATGATGAACGAAACAAACAAGAACGATAAACCGACTTAGATCATTAGCAAAATATTACAACAAAACAGCGTAATTAATCAGAGCTCTCTGAGAAAAAAAAAATCATTCTCTCCATATTTCTAAGAGTTCCATTATTCGTAACCCATCACAAAAACAAAAATTCCTGCATAAACGGAGAGCTAACTGCATTATGAAATGACTAATCGCCAGTGAGTTGGACAAACATTCTTCACTATGCTACAAAACGGTTATAAAAAACTGAGAAAAAAAAAACGGGAATCTTGTCAAGTCTCGTAATATGCATCTAAAGGATCAAGATCTCACCTCAAGATAACCGAGAAGCCGTTACCTTCACACCATCTAGCAAGCCACCGCAGCTTTCTTATTATCTCCTTTCTTGATATCAACCTTCTTATCCTTCCCCTTAATCATCCGACGAAGAATATCGGCTTGCTTAGTATTCCCCTCATCGTTCAAACTCTTGATCAAGTCCTTGCAGCTACTCCAATCGCTAACTCCACCTTTCCCCATAATCTTGCACAGTATCGAATAAGCATTAAGCGTCTTTCCAGCAGCCAATTGAGCATCAAGAACCTTCTCGTAGCTTGAAACATCAATCGTGTAATCCCTCTCCAAACCATAGTCCACCACTTTCAAAGCAGCAATCGTCTTTCCCTTCTCGCACAAAACAGACAAAAGCCCATCCAAATCCGGCTCAATCCCACTCTGCATCAGCAAATCGATTCTTCCGAGCGCCTCCTCAACATGGCCCCTCATTAAAAGAGCTTCCAATATCTTAAAAATCAAATCTTCGTGCTCGTTCACACCTTTCTCTAACATCATATTCATCACCCTGCTCGCTGTCTGAACTCGCCCATCTTCGAACAAGCTCTCCATAACCGACCTGAACAGAGAAGAATCGGGAATGTGTCCGTTCTCGACCATACTGTCGATAACTGCTTTCGCCTCGGCTGGGTCATTCTTTGTCAAGTAGCTTTGGACAAGCGAATCATACGCAGTTTTATCGGTCGGAACGTTTCTCCTAAGCATGATTTTCAGAAGCTCGAAAGCAGAATCGGGCGACCCTTCTTGCGCATGCCCACGAATCAGAGTGTTCAACGCAACCGAATCCCGCACCCCCAATTTCATCAGCTGCCGCACTAAAGCTTCAGCTTTTGCAGTTTGGCCGTTCTGGCAGAGATAATCGATTATCGGATTGTATGATGTGGGCTCCATGTGCAAAGTACTTTCGGACCTCAAAATGATATCTTTCTCAACGAGCTTATCCAGCAACTTAACAGCTCTATCGTATTGACCAGCCTTGCAGAAATTCTCGATCAGGATTCCATAATGCCCAGCTTCGGTCGGCACACTCAACTTAATCATAGCCTTGAGCACATCTGCAGCTGCATCCAAATCGCCCACTTTGCACTGCCCATAAAGCAATCTCATGAAAATGGAATTCTCCAAAGGCCCGATATGCTTATCGACCATCTCTCTCAATATAGTCTTAGCTTCGGACATCTTCTCTGCATCACACAGACCCGGCAACAAAGTAGAGTAAGTGATGGCATTGGGCTTAATACCAAACCCCTTCATTTCCTCCACCAGCCTCAACGCATCGTCAACTTGCTCAACCGAAACATACCCTTTAATCAAGGTGGTATAAGTAACCACATTCGGTTCGATATTCCTCCCTTTCATTTCAGTAAAGTACTTTACCGCTTCATCCATTTTCTTGACCCGATAGTACCCGTTAATCAATGTGTTGTACGTGACCACATCGGGCGTTATCTCACGTGTCTTCATATCCTCGAAGAACCTATTCGCAGTCTCCACTTTACCCGAAAGAAAAAATCCCCATATCAAGAGATTGAACGTGTGCCTATTGGGTTCGATTCCTTCGCTCAACATCTTGTTGAAATATCGCTTGGCCATCATGTACCTTCCCCTACGCGAGATCACCTTGAATAAAGTGTTGTAGGACTTTATACCGCGTTCGACTCCCAATTCCTCCATTTTCTGAAACAGCTTGACGCTTTCTTGAACTATACCCGCCTTTCCGTAACTGTCGATCATCATAACCCACAAATCCTCGTCCCACTCCAAACCCTTCTTCGGCATATCCAATAAAATGCACCTGGCGTGATTCAGCTTCGAAGCCCTCCCCAAAATCTCGATGATCTTGTGGTGGGTCTCTCTGTTGTGCTGAAAGAGGCTCGATCGCTCGACCCAGCGGAAGAACTGGAGCGCGTGCTCCGAGTTCCTGGAGGCGTGGAGCACATTGTAGACGAGCTCGTGGTCGAAGGCCGGGACCAATTTCCGGATCGAGTTCTGCAAACGGGTCGTCCAGGCCCGATTAGCCATCATTCTGCAGATAATGTCTTCGATCTTCTCCGGGTTTTTTGGGCGCCTGAGTTGTCGGCGAAATGTTGGCGGCGACGGCGGCTCAGCCGCCGTCGCGTTTGCCGAAGATGAATCGGCAATTGGAATCTCGGAAACGGGGAGTTCTTCATTTGGGTTAGGGTTAGGGTTCGGGGGTGGGGAGGGGGCGGCGGAGCAGAATAAGAGGGATTTGATTGAAAATGGGGATGAAAGCTTCGTGATATTTGAATTGAAATGGGGTTGTTTGGATGCTGCTAGAAACGCCATTTTTTTCTTCAAGCTTTGCCCAATCAAGTTAGGGCAACAGAATTTCTGAGTGGAAATTTGGATCGGAAGAGAGTAGGGTTTTGGGGCGGAGCTGAGTTTCTTCTGAAACTGCGAAAAGCTAGCTAGGGTTTAAAGAACCGATCGGACCTCACTTAACAGTAAAACACACACTAATCTTTCTTCATTATAACTTAAGAAGGATTAAAATACAATTAGTGGTTTTATCCTAATAAAATTGATTTAATAATTAAGAAAAATTAGTTATAAGTTCTGATTTGGGGGGTGTATTGACAAATCTACCCCTGCCCACTCTTGCCAATCAGCCGAAAATTACACTAAGGTGCACTTTGTCAAGAAAATATAAATTTCTGCTATTAGTTTAATTTAAGGGTGCATTGTGACAATGAGGTGTAATTTGCGGGTGCAAATTGCCAATTACCCTTTTAATTTTCCAACTATATCAATAATTGGGCAATTAAATACGGCCCATTTTTTCCAAAGTTTCATAAATAATAATAAGAATTGGGCTGTGTACAATTAAAGCAATAGGTTCAATTAAAAGCCCACATTGAACTACTACCTTATAATTTAATAGAAAACCACAAAAGCCCGGCCCGTATACAAGAAGAATGACGTAAGAATTAAGGATGATATATTTAAGAAATATAAAAATTCACGTTTATTCAGAAGATTAGATGCAATGCACCGACTAACATTAATCAAAGTGACAAAAATAAATAAATTAATAATAAAAAAAATGAATTTTCACCAAACCCCAAATATCACAATCTAGTTAAACTATATATAGCAAAAAACTAGATTCTTGTGACATCATTTGGGAATTTGTCTGCCCTAACGGTATATTTAACTGCTTAAAAGAGGTTAACTAATTCCACTTATATATGTTTTTTATTTGTCCGAAAATTGCCAAAAAAAAATAAAAACAATAAATAAATAAATAAAACTTAATGTTACATTTAAATTATATAAAAACAATTGATAAGAACGAGTTAAGAAAATTACTGTAAGATTATGGTAATTTTATCAATTATTTTAGGATGTAACAATTTATTTTTCTTAATCACTGAATTAAAGTAATTACTACCTTGCTGAGTCACGTATGGTGCATCAAAAATTTAAATGCAATGTATTTGTATGTGTGTCAGAGGTGAATCTGGTTTAGTGTAGCATAATCTGGTAATTAATTGTCAGAATTAAAAAATAATTAATTAATTTGTTGCTCTGATACAGTGAATGAAAGAATAACCGAAAGGTTGATTCCACCATTTGCGGACTTAAACATTATTGGAGCATTTAATAACTATTTAAATTAAATAACATATTTATTTTTTTACTGGTAACTTCAATTTTTTATTTTTTTATTTTTTCTTTGTGTTCAAGTATTTGTTTGTCAGATATGTCCCATGGTATTAAGTATAAAAATAGCATTATCAATGTATCTTAATATAATACAATTGGCTTAAAAAAAAAATTATATATATATATATATATATATTACAATAGGCCAAATTGATTAGAGCATTTTTTTCCAAGTAAAATTAATATCCAGTGTCATCGGCAGGAGATCCAGTTATATTACATAAGTACAGTACTTAAAAAAGAAAAACGCATCTAATCACACTTTCTTACAAAAAAAATTAAATTAATTATGAAAGTGCTAAATAGGAAACACGTTTTTTAGATATCACGGTACTCATGGTTTAATCAATAAGACAGTCCATCACTCCAACTAGCAATTAATTGTATTCAGACAAAATTTATTTAAGCCCAAATTACAACACTTTCCCTATTTCTCACGTAAGAAGCAATGTAGTAATAATTTCTGATAAATTAGTAAATTAAAATACAACTCATAAGTCAACAATCCACACGATAAAATGCCACTAATCATCTATTTATTAGTTCGAGAAGAAAGAAAATAAGTTAATTAATTAATTACTATGAGAGTGGAGCTTCATGAACAAAAAAAGGTATACTTATAAAATCTATTACACGTTTCAAGATTTTTATGGGACCGCACTAATATTTTAATTTAATTTTAATTTAAATAATAATAAAAAGTGTTTTTGCCTTAACATAAATGTCAATGAACAATTGGGGAAGTATGGTTGACTTGACTCTAATGGATATACTAAAACCTCTCATATTAGTTTTCAATGGTTAATTGAAGGATTACTAAAAGTTAATTTAGTTAATCCAAATTTGCTACCTCAAATTATGTAGCTAATCAAAGTGAACCAGAAATTACCGTTTATATCCTTCAAAGGTGAACTTACAAACACAAATATGCATTTCCAACGACTGTTGTGTGTGAATTTGTGTGTGAGTGTGTATGTGTGTGTGTCACAATATGTGTGATAGTCTATTCTTATTTGATAACAACGACAACAAAGGAAGATGACAGCGGCGTAATGGAAAAGGCGACGGTCGTGCATCGAAGATATAGTTGAATTTGAAATACGAGAAAAATGGGAAGAAAGAACGAATGGATGGAGTGAGGGAAATAAACGAGATAACCCTGTCTGAAAAGATAGATGACTTCTAACAAATTAGTAAACTCCGACTTTACTTATTTGAAAGAATATTTAGTAGTGAAGGATGATTAACACATTTAAAATACAATTCCATTTTTGCACTCGAATTGATTATTAAAAAAAATTAAAATTTAGACTTCAATGAATACATTTAAATAACAATAGAATATACAATTTGTCTCCATTGATTTGCAAGGGTCAACCTCTTAATTGAAAAAAATACTCAAATAGCATATAATAAAATATTAAAAATCAGAATTAAAACCAAAATGAATGCAAGAGCCATTTAATAAAAAAAAATAAAACAGAACTCCTAGTCCAACTAGTGGTCGTAAATGAAAGCTTTTACAGCTGTTTCTCTCTCTACTTACAAAAAAAATCAAATTTTAGAAATATTAATTAAAAAAAATTAAAAAAAATATTACAGTAGCATTTGTGAAGTTAATTAATAAATAAAAAGAAACCTTTTTTTATTTCTTTCTTGGCCAGTCACCATTTTTTTCACCTTTCCCCAAAGATTTTATATTTTATTTTATATTTTTAATAATCTTATTCAAAGAAGCGAACCCCCTCACCTTCGCACAAACAAACATGTAAATAATAATCATATAATAAATGTTTCTTCCTCTTCTCTCTATCTACACTCTCTCCCAGCTCACACTCTTCTCTATCTCTATCTATATTTATTTATATATATATATATACTAGTGATGGAGCACCGCGCAAGGCGCGGTGCCCGGTTGATTCATACGAATAAAAAATAAAAGAGAAAATAATGCAGGCAACGGTGAAGGAGAATGAGATTTCTTTAATTTCAGAATTAGTATTCTTTTTCAGATTCTTCCAAATTAAAACGGAAATACAATGCAAAACAGGTTACAGAAAGCAAAAAATAAGCATATTAATGATGGAAAGAAATTAAATTAATTTTCCATAAATCTCGAAGAACTAACCAAGCGGGTTATGCCGAATCGTAGAAGAAACAGCAGCTCCAGCAGCTGAAGCCTCTGAAACTTCTTCCTTGTTGCTATTGTTATTACCTACTTCAAAGAGGAAACACAATAATGAGAAGCTAATCTTAATTTCTTGATAGTTTATTTAGGTGGATACAACTTGCTGGAACTTTGTTCAATAATCAATAAAAGATGCAAAATCATTAAATCAAACTAAATGAATGCATAACTTGTTGAAGTAATTGGGTAAAAAAGAAGGAGAATAAATTAAATGCAAGAACTGACCACAACTGATGCTGTGTAGCTAAGAATTAAGCCTTTTCTTCAACATTCGTAGAAGCATATTTGATACACAGGCTTTCAGCTTTTAGCAGTCTCTTCTCATCTTTAAAGCCCATGAATTGCAGAGGATATACTTTATTTAGTCCTGAGAAATGAAATAATATAATAATAGAACATGACGAGCCTGGCCTAGTTTTCCTGAGGTTTTGCGGTAGCAGCAGCAACTTTCTCGGGTTCATTCGGCTTCAGCAGCAAATCCGATATTCTTGCAGCCAAACTCTGTTTTGCTGAAGGGGATACACCGTGCGTACCAATAATCGACTCAAGCACTACTTCCAAGAGTTGTTTGTTCTCTATGACCACGCTCAGGGATCGAATCATCTTTGGAGAAGCTAATCTGCAGATCAACAACACACAGTAAATGAGTCGATTAATAGAGGCGAAAAAAGCAAGTCATCGTTCATCATCTTAATTGCCCAAGAAACGTGTGATCACCGTTAATGAGCCCTCCGGTGATTGAGTGAAGAGGATAGAGCTTCCAGGTGGGAAGTTTTCGTCGCTAAATACTTGGAGGAACTTTTCGATTGCGGCAGACTCTGCATCGGTGTATTTCTCTACTTTTTTCCAGTAGGCGACGCAGTTTTCTGCTACCTTCTCGGAGTATTGTTTGCCAGTTAACGGCAGTATCGTTGTCACGTTTGTGAATTTCTCAAAGGCATCTAAAAATTAACAATTAGGGATTAATAACTTTTTCTTAAAAAAAAAAAAAAAAAAAAAAAAAAAAAAAAACTGAAAATTGAATCCTTACCAGTGACGATGTCTCCGAAGAAGGGAATCCGTCAATTCGTCGGCGGTCTTGCCATTCCACTTAACGGCGAGTGACTGTACAGCGTTATCTTCTAGGTAAACCCCAATTGCAGTGAATTTGATGAACCTCCCCTCGATCTCCATCCCTCTCACCCCTGCGCATGTTATCAATAACCATATCAGCGGCGCTGATTTTGAAATTGCACTATTGCTTCAGCAGATAAACGAGAGAACTAACCTGCGCCGCCGAGGAAGAAGGTCTTGGTAGAACCGGGAGGGTTGATCGCTGGAGGAAATACGCATGATTCGACCTGGACTTGTAAAATTAAAGACACTGATATTGCTTAAAATTAAAATTTAAGCAATATTCAATCATAAAAAATAGCTGAGGGAAGGTCTTGAAGAGGAAGGCGGAGGGAAGAGAGGGAGGAAAGTAGCTGCGGGGGTGGATGGCTACCTGGGAATTCTTGAGATTGACGGCGGATCCGGAAGGAACATCGGAATTTCCGGGGAGAAGGGAGGCGCGGCGGAGCAGGTGGAGGAAAGGTGCAGTGGGAAGAGATGCTGGCGGCAGAGGCGGTGGGCGGCGAACGCGCGTGGAGGTGGGGGGGCAACGATTCCCGCTGCCATGGCTGTGTGGCAAGGAAGAAAAAGGGAGGCCCTGATTGGAGAAGAAGAGCGGTGGGGCAGTCAGCATTTGCGGCGGCAGAAGAGAGAGAAGGGAAAAGGGGAAAAAAAAAAAAGAAAAAGGAAAAGAAGTAGGTCGATCGTGCATTTTTTGAAAGAAAAGGGAAAAGAAAAGAAAGCTGCGCGGACATTGGTGGATTGAAACGAAACGGCGCCGTTTCAAATTAAAAGGGGCCAAAAATAAAGCGTAGAAAATAGGGGGGCGAGAATTGGGGGTTATCAACATATATATATACTTAATATATATATATATATATATATATATATATTTCTTTCTCTTTCTATATCGATACGTGTATCTATCTATACTTTGCTTCTCTCTCTCTCTCTTCCGTTCAGTAAATATATATACCAAAAAATACACGCGTGGCTTCCTTGAAAGGCTTCTGATCTGAACTCTGAGCGCGCACAGCCAAAGAGGAACTCGAAAAGGTGAGGAATAAGCGAATATAGTATTTATGTGTAGAGAGAGGGAGAAAACCCAAACCCTAACAATATGTGCTCCAATCTATTTGCTAAATACTGTGTTGATTGTGTGTAATAATGCGTGTGCTTACTGTTTTATATTTGTGTGTGTGTACGGATTCGCGAATTAGTTTTTTTTTTTCTTCATATCGGTGGCTAATCAGCTTCAGATCCATTGATGGATGTGGTGTATTATCCTGCATGATTTTTTTATTTTTTTTAATTGGATGGAAGATTTCAGCTCCGGCTTTAGGTTTTCCGATTGAGAGCAAGAATTAGGTTTTTTTCTTTTTTTGGGGGATTCTGAGTTGCTTACATGGTTTTGTGTTGGTATTGTTCGTGACTTGAAGATCTATTACGAGTGACATGTGTTGTTCTTTTTTGCCATTTGTTGACTTTCCTCTTTGTATGGGGGTTGTCATTAATTAAGTTGTTGATTTCCATTTTTGTTTCTTTCCCAATTAGCAGAGTGACTTCAAATATCTGAATAAATGGTTATGGAGATCGGTTTCTGTTTCTGCTTTTAGTTTGGATTTTGCTTTTTCGACATACTGAATCACTCGTAAACACTCTGGAGTTTTTGGTGGTTTGTTTATTCCTTGGGATTTGTATTACATCTTATATTTGTTCCTATTACTTACGATTAAGAGTTTTATTCATTGCGAATTTATTGAATTTGCAGGGTTCCTGATATATCTAAATGGGCTTTCTAATTCATTTGTTAGGTTGCCTTATAGACTTATTAGACTGGGTGAAATTCTTTTAGCATATGTAACTCTTGACAAAATTTTAGAGCACCCTGAATCTATGAATCAACTTATTTGCTTATTGATTAAACAACATGGAGAGATGAATATTGGAGACTGATAGAGCCATTACACTGTTGTCGTTTGTATCACTTGAACATGTTAAGATGCTTCAAAATGTAGATGTTGTTTGTATTCTGGATATCATATTTAACTATGCAGTTTTTCACTCGTATCAGGATTCGCGAAGTGCCAAAGCGCAGCTACACCTGTTTTCAGAACTCTGTACCTTATTGGAGCGCATACGTTAGTTTGAGATAAACGTTCACTTTGATTTATTTATGTATTACTAGGTGCGAAAGTTCAACTGAATCAGAAGTCAGAAGCTGTTTTCTTGTCTATGAGGAATGTTTGCTGGTACAGTTCAACTGTTTGAATATGAACTCGATTAAGCATTGGAATGAAGATGGTTTTGGTCTGGAATATTTTTAGTTTTAAACTCCTGCTTTGTCAACTATTAATAACCAAAGAACAGTGCATTGGGAAGAATGAGTAGACAAGCTATGCCTTGGATTGGTTTGCTTCTACATTGATGAAGTTATATTGCTCGGTTTCCTCGAATTTGCAAAAAGATTCCTGATTAATTGCATCCCAGGTCCTTCTTAAGGTGGAATCGTGAGGCATAATGTAATTGGACGTATTCGGCACATTTTGAAGCTGCTTGAAACCAAAAAATACCAGTGGATAACACTGCTTTATTTTTGAAAATAAAAATAAAATGGAATCTGAGACATTGATTACTGATTATCAGCAAATGACTAGAGAGCGGATGCTTGCTGCTGTGGGACCGGTACTTTGGATTGCTACCAGCTATATAGACCCTGGAAAGTGGGCAGTAGCTGTAGAGGGGGGTGCTCGTTTTGGTTTTGATTTGTCATTGCTTTTGCTTATCATAAACTGCGCTGCTATTTTGTGCCAGTACCTTTCTGCCCGTGTAGCCATTGCCACTGGAAAGAATCTTGCTCAGGTTGTTATTTTCCTTCAATGTTTTATTTTTTATGAGATGCATTAGCCTTTTGTTTTCAATTAGATTTTGGCCTGTTGGAACTCAATCGAAATTCCGTTAGAGAGCTGAAACTTGAATTGCTACAGATCATAATCAGTTGTTGTAATAACCCTGGCTAATTTTATGTATTGGCTGATTACAACATAGTCATTTAACTTAGGGTGTGCAATCACTCTGTTGTCATTGGTGAATGTGACCTATGATAAGTGTCACATAACCGATAGAGGAATCGTCTCACTCTTCTCCTCCCATACTTCCTTCTACTTCATTTACTTTTATATTACATCAAACTTGTACATAGCTATCCGTTTTCAGACCCTTTTTCATGCTTTAATATAAACTCCAAAAAACATGAACTCATTTTTCTTAATGATGTCATAGATTTGCAGCGAAGAATATGATGATGCGACATGCATAGCCATAGGAATTCAGGCAGAAATCTCCATGATTGTGTTGGATCTCACAATGGTAATTTAGTCTTCGGAAACTATTTAAGTCAGTTGTTTCTTCTAACATACTCTGTTTTTCCTAATTATAGAAATGATTGTTTTGGCAGGTTCTTGGTATCGCTTTTGGTCTTAATGCTGCCTTTGGAATCGACCTACTTAATTGTGTTTTTCTGACCGTCTTTGATGCTGTTCTGTTTCCATTGCTCGCTAGCCTCTTTGTAAGTTATCTGCTTCATTCTGTTGCTTTCTGTTTCTTAGATAGGGTGCAGATTGTAGTTTATAATGCAATTGCTGTTTTCAGGGAAATCCCCAAGCAAATATCCTATCCATATGCGTGGCATGCTTTGTATTAGCATCTTATGTTTCGGGAGTTCTAATAAGTCAACCAGAAAGCTCGCTGTCCATGGGTGGGATGCTTAGTAAGCTAACTGGGGAAAATGCCTATGCATTGATGAGTGTCCTTGGAGCCAATATTATGCCACACAACTTTTACCTCCATTCTTCTATTGTACAGGTCTGCTTTCTCTCTTGCACTAGCTCAATCACCTTTTATTACAATCTATGCTTACATTTCCCTAATTCTATGAGCCTAAGCTGATTAACCCTTCATTTTTTTTTTTTGCAGCAAGATAAGAGGCAAACTAATGTTCCTAAAGGGGCATTGTGCCATGACCATTTTTTGGCCACTTTATGCATCTTTAGTGGCATTTTCCTGGTGAATTGTATGCTAATTAATTTGGCAGCAAATGTGTTCTATAGCAGTGGACTCATTTCGCTTACTTTACAGGATGCATTGTCATTGTTGGATCAGGTTGGTGTTGAATATGCCAAGAATATGATAATTTATGTGTTAATGTTATGCAGCTTTCTGATGTCTCTGGGTTATGGTTAAATTCTCTGGATGGTGATGCAGGGATTGAAGAGTTCGTTGGTTTCGATTGCTTTAATAATCATTATGTTCTTCTCCAATCAACATGTAGCAGTAACATGGAGTCTTGGAGGACAAATGAATGCACATGATTTGTTGAGATTGGAGATTCCGGGTTGGCTTCATTGTGCTTCGATCAGAATAATTGCCATCTTTTCAGCCCTCATTTGCATCTGGAATTCAGGAGCTGAAGGCATATTTCAGCTTCTGATCTTTACGCAGGTCGTTGTTGCTCTTCTACTGCCATCTTCTGTTATCCCCTTGTTTCGAGTTGCTTCCTCCCGATCGATTATGGGTGCCTATAAAATTTCTCGTCTGGTGGAGTTCTTAGCTTTAGTCACCTTCGTTGGAATGCTGGGGCTACAGGTTGTATTTGCGATCGAACTTGTATTTGGCAGTAGTGACTGGGTTATTAGTTTGAGCTGGAATATTGGGAGTAACGTGCCTATTTCGTATTACATTCTTCTAGTTGCTGTTTTTGCCTCCACTTCTGTGATGCTTTGGCTGGCAGCCACTCCATTGAAGTCTGCAAGTTCTGGAGTAGATACACAGATATTGAAGTGGGACAAAAAGGCTGATATGACGGAGTCATGTAAAGAGAGGGATTCGGCTGAAATTAAGGAAGTGGAACATCAATTTGAAAAGTCTATCGAAAAGCAGGAACCTACGTTAGCATTTCAAAATCCCTTTGAGAACCGTCAGAACTTCTCATCTTCACCTACTGATCTGAATTTGCCTGAAACTCTTTTGGATTCCGAGGTCAGTCAATGTTTGACTACGATCGAGGAGAATAAATCCGAGTTCACATTTCCAAAGCCTTCCCTAGACCATCTGGAGGGATCTGCAATGATTTCAGGAACCATCTTTCCTGAATCGGTCAAGATTGACAAGAATGAATCTCTCGACAACACAACCTTTAGCCCTGAACCAAAAGAAATGGTGAAAAAGACGCTGAAAATCGAGGGAGATGTGCAGAGTGAGAAAGACGACGAAGGAGAACATTGGGAACATGATGAATTGACTAAGGATGTTTCCGAGAGCAGCCTGTCTTTGATATCCGAGGGTCCAGGATCTTTCAGAAGCCTCAGGGGAAAAATCGACGATGGAGGAAGTGGTCCGGCAAGTCTTTCAAGATTAGCAGGATTAGGACGTGCTGCAAGGCGCCAGTTAACCGGAGTTCTCGATGAATTTTGGGGGCAGCTGTTTGATTTCCACGGTCAAGCAACGCACGAAGCAAGGGCTAAGAAACTTGATGTTTTGCTGGGGATTGATTCTAAGGTAGAATCGAAATCTTCCTTTGCACCTTCGAAATTGGAGACCATTAACAAAGATTCTGGCTATTTCCCTTCTACCGCTGGAGTTGGAAGGGGATCTGATCTTTTAAGAAACTCCACCTTTTACAACTCTCCAAAGCAACACATCGGATCGCCTCTTGGTGTTCAACAAGGGTCAACAATGTGGTCTAATAATCAGATGCAATTATTAGATGCGTACGTGCGGAATTCCAGCCAAGATGCCCTCGATTCCGGCGAGAGGCGCTATCACAGTGTCCATATTCCATCATCTTCTGATGGTTATGACCAACAGCCAGCCACTATTCATGGTTATGACATGGCGTCATATCTGAGTCGATTGTCCAAAGAGACGATTTCGGATTATCCAAAAAGTCAACAACTAGAGTCATTAAAGCAAGCCTCAACACCCTCAATAAAATCAAACTCAATAGATTCATATAACCGACCACTAGGGCAAACCCCACAAAACGGTTCACGCATGCTAAAGCCGCCCGGTTTTCACAATGTTCCCGTTTCTCGAAACAGTTCGTTGAGATCCGAAAGACCTAATCTTGATCTCACCTCTCCCGAGCCAGTGGATTACAGTAACAACCCGCCCAATGTGAAGAAGTATTACAGCTTGCCAGACATATCAGGACTTTATGCCCCTCAGAGAGATTCTTCTTCATATGACAACACCACTCGATGGGATTATTCGACCAGCTACGGGCAGTCAATGAACCGACCAGCATATACAAACGCTTCACCATATGCTGGTACTACTGTTCCAGGTCTAAATCAATTTAACAATCCAAAGGTCTGCAGCGATGCTTTTTCGTTGCAATTTGCTTCCAGGCCAGGTGTCGGTTCATTGTGGTCTAGGCAGCCATACGAACAATTTGGCGTGGCTGATAAATCTCCTCCTAAAATCCAAGAAACCGCGTCTATTATCGATATGGAAGCGAAGCTTCTACAGTCTTTCAGAAGCTGCATAACTAAACTTCTGAAGCTAGAAGGTTCCGAGTGGCTGTTCAGACAGAACGACGGTGCTGACGAGGATCTCATTGATCGAGTAGCTGCAAGGGAGAGATTCCTATACGAAGCCGAAAATATGACTGCAGAAGGAAAGCTTGGTTCTGTCATGAAAAACGACGAAGCAGACCATTCGAAGTTTATTTCAGTTCCTAATTGTGGTGATGGATGTGTTTGGCAAGTTGATCTTATCATAAGCTTTGGAGTCTGGTCCATTCGCAGGATTCTTGAACTTTCCCTCGTGGAAAGCAGACCCGAGCTTTGGGGGAAATACACCTACGTACTTAATCGTCTTCAGGTAATTACTTACTTATCCTTGAATATGAATTACATGTTGTAATACCATCATTATGTTAATTTCTTTGTTTAATTCTCGTAGGGGATTATTGATTTGGCATTTTCAAAGCCACGTTCGCTAGTGCCGCCCTGTTTCTGCCTGGAGCTTCCTGCTGGCTACCAGCAAAAGTCGAGCCCGCCTATCTCAAACGGGAGTTTGCCACCACCTTCAAAATTGGGTCGTGGGAAATTCACGACCGCTATAATCTTATTGGAGACAATCAAAGACGTCGAAACTGCTATATCTTGCCGTAAGGGCAGAACGGGAACTGCAGCCGGTGACGTGGCGTTCCCGAAAGGCAAAGAGAATTTGGCATCTGTTCTCAAACGGTACAAGCGCCGATTATCGAGTAAGCCAGCTGGCGCAAACAAGATTTCGGCTTTGTCTACTCAAGGCTTGTAACACTTGTTTTCGGTTCATAGGTGCTTTGATGGTTATTTTGTTTGCGTTGCTAAGTACCGAAAAAAATTCCACTCAGCAACTATGGACTCTTGCCATTCCCCCCTTTGTGTATCTAAAAATATTGGCTGCTCTTTTTTTTTCTTAAATTTTCTTCGGTTGTTGTACTTTGTGGTGTATACATAGGACAAAAACTGTACTGTACTAGATCATCTAACACAGCATCATCAGCTTCAGAAAACAGTGACAAGAAAAGGTGGAAATATATTTTTATTGCAAGTAGGGTGTTGCTTTTTTAGTCTTGTTTCACACAGGGTTATACTCTCTCTCTATTTGCATTGTTAGCCCCTTATTTCCTAGGAGGGGCTAAAACTTGACAATAGAGTTGTTTTCATTAAATACGGAGAAAAGGAAAAGAAAAGAAAAACGTACACTAATAAATGATAAAGTTAGGCACTTATTAATTTATTTATTTATTGAGGGAAAAAATAAAAATAAAAATAAAAATAAAATTAGGCTCGGAAGTCTATCTGATTTAGTTGATTTTTCCTACGTTTTTTTGTTTTTATCTGCGGGCATACTTTCCTCTATCTTGCAATTAGATAAGGAAAAGCAGGAAAAGGAAAAAGAAAAACAAATACTCATACAGCTGAATTACTGCTGCATAATAATTTTTCTATTTCACTTTCTCTCTCTAGAAAATAAAGGAAAACGATAAATCATCCCATGTTTCTTTTTCAATCTTCCTTTTATTGGAGTTTCCAGAGATAAATTTCAGTACGAGGTTCTAACTGCTCTATTTCGGTGTCAGAGAAGGTACGCTCCGATTTCCGTCACATTAAAACGGTAAAAGAATATTCCGTTCACTTTTTGTTTTCCTTATTTCGTTTCCGTTTCCTTATTTTCTTTCAATTAGATGAACTCCTCCTAACTTGATTATCATTTACAATTTAATTTTGTTTTTTTTGGAAAACTTACATAAATTGGGCTTTGTATACAAAAATATTAAAAAGCCCAATAAAGGCTGAATGGTATGTATATAATATGGGCCAAAAGCCCATAAATTATTTTCCAAAAATAAATAAATTTTAGGGAGTTTTCTATTTTTTATTTGTTGTGTTTGCTCAGACAGAAGAATAGTCAAGTGTTGAAGCAATGGGGTATGTGGTGGTGGTATCTTTACCAGTGATCCTCTTCTTCTTGATAACGGCGATTGGTTGTTACCTTCTCGGGAGGGCGCGTGGCAGAAAAGAAAATCTTAGGCTTCCTCAGCATTACTATGGACCTCCACCTGTACCTGCTCCTCCACCTCAACTACTTGGACCACATACTCCTGCTCCACACAAGTAGATCTCTTCTTCTTCTTTTTTTATAAGTAATATGCACTATAGCTTTTAATGCTTTTCTATTGTACAATAGCTTATTTACTTGTATAATTAAATGTTTTGTGTAAATGTGACACAAATAAAGTCTTTTTATTTCACATTTAATTTGGATAAGATCGGACCAAGGGGCCATTACCCCTCCACTCTTATAATATTTGTCGCTCTTAAGAAGAAAAAAAAAAAATGATATATTTTTGTCATTTTAAATTCGTAATTCTGGATTAATTACTTAATTTTCAATTTATACATCACTGACTTTTTCCGTCTAAAAGCATACATTTTTCTAAATGAAGGTACATTTAATAAAATCTTTAATCGTTGTGCAATGTTGAAGAATGAAAGTTAAAAAGAAACAGATGGAGTATCAATGTATTATATAGCGTTCTCACCAAATTAGAAATTTCTTGTGCGCATTTGGTTCTCGAAACGACAAAATAACGGTTCTACCACCAGCTCTACAAGCACTATCAAAATCAAAGTCACGAGTTCGATTCATACTATGTTGCGCATACATGAGGTCCAAATGACGTTTTAGGTGGCGTTTGCTGAAGTTTATGTTAGAACAAAAGTTGGTAATTACGACGTTTGAGCAAAATTCGAGATAATTGCTTATTTCTAGAAAATGGGATGTTTCCAAAAAACCGAAGACATTGGTTTAATCAGCTAATAAAGCAATCGTAAACTTTTAGCGTTTGCAAATAAACTTTATTTTTTGTTTATTTCTGTAGAATACCCGAAATGTCGTAATAAAATAGATTAAAATAAAATTAAAAAACAGAAACATCATCTGAGGTGGTGTTTGCAAATGATTATTTAAAAACAGAAGTTAGTGATTGTGAGTTAAGTCAGTTTTAAGTGTTTATTCCTAAAAGTTGGCGGTGTTTGCAAATATTTCGAAAAATGAACTTAAATAGGAAAAACAGGGTTAGGGGTGCTTTTAAAAAAATAGCTTAAAACAGATTATTTTAAGAGAAGTAAAAGCAAAAGTTAATTTTACAAACACCTGAAAACAGATCATGAGCAAAAAAAAGCTCATAATCACTTTCAAAAAGCGTTTGCAAACACCACCTAAATGGATTCGAACTTTTCACAAGGAAGAAAAATAAAATAAAATAAAGAAAAGAATAAGTGATTTGTTTGTGGTGGTGAACAAAAACATGGACTACAAAATACCAACCACAACTTGCTAATAATGTATAAGCAAGTTTATGTATGGGCCACGTCAACATAATATAGGTACAGTTCAAGGCCTATATGAAAACGTGGCCCACTGGGCCTAGTCACAAACTTTTGACAAACCTCTTTTTCACGTTTTCTAAACATTATAATTATAATAATATTGATAACGACGCATTTATTACATCATCGTTATATCACGTGTTTCCATCCAACCGACCTAACTTTTTTTTTTTCTTTTTTTTTAATAATTAAAATAAATAAAATTAATTGGTGGTGTGAAACAAGTAGTCTTGCCTAATTTAGTGAATACTACAATTATCTGAGTTTCTGTTTTAATTTTATTTAATACGTGTTAATATATAATCCATGTGATTAGATTTTCTCTAACAAAAAATATTTATGTATTAATACACTATTCCAGGACCCAGCTAATACTGTTTTCTACGTTAATTAAGAATTATTATTTTGCGTTTTATTAATTATATATTATTTGATTTTTTTTTGTTGCCACTATAGTAGTGTTGGGTGGGGATTTTTTGTAGGTAAAGATAATAATCATACAATCAAAGACTCAAGATCGGAATTTTTTTTTTTTTTAGTACATACCCTCTGAATCTCGGTATTATTATAAATTAATAAAAATAATAATAATAATGTTGATTTAATTTTGGATATTAATCATGTAAAATATTATCCAGATTGCAGACAGCTCTGATGGGAATAATTCCTGCACATTTACTACCATGGTCCTATATATTAATTATCAACTTTGATCTAGTTGTCTTCTCGGTTATGTTTGTATGTATTATTGTATATATTTTCACTGGCAGAGTCAGAATTTTATGTTTCGGGGAGAATGCGTTGAAATTCTTTGAGGTGAGAAATATTGGAAGGACAACGGCCTCGCTCGACCCTATATTTATTCCGTCACTATATTCGACATTTTGCTGGGATAAACAAATTTCTGTTGAAAACCAGTCAGTAATTTTATAAAATTAGGAAATTTAATTTATTATGAATTAAAAAAAAAATTGTAGTTGGTGGTGCGAAGGTGGGTACTACATCTAAAAATCAATTTAGAAAATCTAGTTCACAATATATATTCAAATATCTTTAATTAATTAATAATATAGTCATGAATTATTGCATATACCACGAGAAATGTGTGAATGGGTATATTAATTCATCACAGACAGTCAGATCATTATTTAAAAAAGGAATAGTTGTTGTATTTCGCACCCAAGTTTAATTTATTATAATTAATCTCTTTTTACAAAAGAAAAAAACAAGTTTATTATATAAAATAGTTAATTTAATTAGTTTAAAAAAATAACACAGAAAAAGATAATTTTTGACCAGTTGCAAAACTGGTGGTTGGAAATATATATATATATGGATAAATATATAGCTTCCACCAACTATATATCTATATTGCGTTAGGTGTACTAGTTCCGATAGTCTAACACAAACTTAACATAATTAACAAAACCCTCTTAAGAAAAAAATATTGCTAAATAGATAATTAAGACGTTCTTAAATATTATACAAGTTTTCTCCAAAAAAAAATGTATTTAAAAAATATTATGCACGTACTGCATTTTTTTTGTCAAAATTATATATTTATCTAAAGGAGTGATGCAATGCAATAAATAAATGAATAAATTGTATTCATTTTCCGCAATGGATGATCTAACGGTTGTAGCAAATGAGTTTGTATTAAGTCACTGAATTTCGAATCCCAATACTAACGGTCGTTAGGTTGACTTTGTCACACATGTTCAGTCTAATGTGGTTTACGTTTCTTGTACAGTTTGCAAGCTATTATACGAGAGTGTAAATTTATCCACCACATGACTTATATAGTTAGCTGGTGGTTCTTTAAAAAAAAAAAAAATTTGTGTTCGTGACTAGCATATCTATGACTTCAAAAATTAAATCGAATTGACGAATTTATATTTAACATTTTGTGAAATGATAAAGGTCCACTACAATTGTTTTTTAGTCATGATTTTTTTGAATTTGTTTTTGTTCATTATATAATTGATCATGTGTTATATTTTATGGATGAAAAATATGCATCATCTCCTTCTATCTAAATGCTTATCTAAAAAAATAATGCATTTTTTTTAATGATGTAAAACATAAAATAAAGAATCAATACAATATAAGTGATCTATACCTGTGAGGATATGGTTTTTAATTTTAGCTAAAAAAAAATAAAAATAATGAAAATATAATTAAATAAAATGCAATTTCCACCAATTAATTATTGTGAAATGTAATTCAAATTAGTGGAATTAATTTCTAGCAGGTGGAAGGTTTGGTGGGAATTTCATTGTTGTGAATAGCTACACAATTTCAGCCGCCAAACACGACCAACCTACAAATTAGGGAAATTGCAATTTGGCCCCGTATCTTTTACTTTGAAAAGCAAAAAAGCCCCTCTGGTTAGGAAAATGCTATAAAAAAAAATGTTTTAAACTTGTAATCTTGCCTTTAAAGGAGGGTTGATTTATTTGTTGCAACAAACAAAGGGACAAACTCGTAATCTTACATAGAAACAGTAAATTAAAAATAAAAATCGGATATAACATTTTTTTATCATCATCTGGAATCAACCAATATAATGTCAGAGTCGTGTGCCTAACTTTGGGCAAGGAGATAGTCAAATAAATAAAGTCGTACTTTTGTTTTTGACAAAAGCGTGTTTTCAAATAATAATAATTTAAATTCAAAGACTGTATGTAATGTGTATGTACGTGTTTGTGTTTGTGATCACATATGTATGTCATCTTTGCTTCTTATTCAGTGTCTCACCTGTTACGTGGTACCAACTTTCAGTAAATGCAAACATAACCTTTAATTTGTATCATTCACTATTTAATTAAGTCATTCAATTTTAAAGTCAATTCAGGATAATTGAATAATTGTTTTTTTTTTTGGACAAGAATAAATTATTGATAATATAGACAAAAAATCCGAAACTAATAACTTTGTACAGTAAAACCTCGATAAATTAATAGTTTTGTTTAGACAATATTTTTTTCTGATATATCTTGACTCGGTAAAAAAAAAGTACTAAATTATTATTTGAATAATTTAATATTTCGCTGAATTTTGTTAATACTGATTGTACTAATTTATAAAAGTTTAACTGTTAGTTAATTTTTTTGTCTTTAGTTATGACATAACTGCGTCATATAGCTAATTAATTCAATTACTAGTTGTACCTATCTTGTTGAATTTTTAGCCGGATTTTTCAGCATTAATTTCTTTTCTTTCTTAGCTATCCTTCTTGAGGTACCAATATTTTTAAAATCGGACCGAACGTAAAATAGAATAGCGAGCGACGACATTGTAGTAGGATTGCTTCGATCTGATTCGACCGAACTTTTTAAAATGTATTTTATTAGGCAAAACCCAAATTTATTAGGCAAAAAACCCAATTCTATCATCTACCTTCTCTTTTTAATACTATAAAATTGGATTTTTAGAAATATTAACTTTTGGAAATGCGTTCTGATTTTTTTAAGCTAAATTATGGCTACCCCTAAGGTAATGTCAAATTATAGAAAAAAAATCATCTTGTTTGAATAATTACAATAACTATCCTCAGCTATATATTGTCGTGTATGTCCACACTTACGGTAACATATTTATCTATCGAATAAGAATTTTTTTCGTAAAACAGTACAAAGTTGAGGGGATAATTGTAATCACTAAAAAATATGGGGATTTTTATAATTTAACCTTGCCTTAGGGTAGCCATAATTCTTTTTTTTTTTAAGTATGAAAATGTGAATAGGATAAAGGAAATCCATATTAATTTCCAAATTTACCCCGGATCAATACATAATTGGCCAAAATAGACTAGGATTTGGCCATATTAATTATGACCTATCAAATCTCATAATTAAGTTAAGAATTAGGATTAATAAAAGATAAACTTTAAATGATCTCTTATTCACTATCCACAAGGTAAGAAGTATATTCGACTTGGTTCAGACTTTATTTTAGCAAGTTTACTAATTTAAGTATCGATTTTTTTTGTCTAGTACTAGAGCTAAAAATATGATATTATCACTAGATCGAAAATCGAGGTATTAAAATTTAATATAATTATTTTAATTAGATTAATTTGGACCTTGAATCCAATCATAAGGTATACTCATCGATCCAAATCGAGACCAATGTCTAATTTAATATAAACAAGTGGACAAAAATAACCTATGGTCATATAACAAACAAATAACTTCAAAAACACAACTAATTAATACTAATTAATACTAATTAATACACACACACACACGCACGATGTTACGTGATTTTTAGGGGATCGAGTAATGCTACACCGAGTAAATGTATTAGATATGTACATTCATCGTTCATTTACGTATAATATAATCATAAATCTGAAAATCGTTTTGCATTATCGGCTCATATTTCAAGCCCATTTGTCATCTAAACTTATTTTGAACAACTGATAAGTCCTGAATTAGTTCAGATAAGTTGTTTCAAGAGCAAGTAAACTATTACATCTTATTTTTAAAAATTAATTTTTAAAGTGTTTGGATAACTTAAAAAAAAAAAGATCTTAAAAGCCTTCCATTATCTTTACAAAACACTATGAAAGAACTTATAAACTTAACAAAACAGCTTGTTTTCGATAGCGGGTTTTCTTAATGGTAGGAAAAATCAAAGTTAATTAATAATTATCTTTGTTTATCCACCGTGCACAACCTTTGTCTGTCTCTTTTGTCCAACTTTCCTTTGGTTTTATAAATGTGCAAAAGTAGTTAGATTTTAGCAACAAAATTAAGTTAACCAAACCAACCATCTTTTTTAATTTCTAACTATTATATTACCTATTTTTCATTAATAAAGTTGGTTATAAACACATAGTTGTACAACTACCTCGCTTATTATATTTATTATTATTATTATTGAAATTTTATTTATTTATTTATTTATTAATTAGTAGTAGTCTGAAATTTGAATAAATTGAGATGGGCATGCAATTTTAGTTCACATTGAATGTGTGTGTCTCTACTACGTGGATATTCTATAAATCGTTCATGGTAACTACCTCAGTGCCTTAACTTCAGATCAACCACCTCTCCCAATAATATTAATTATAGCCAAATTAAATAATAATAATAATAAAAATAAATTGTTTTATCAGGAAAATGAAATCGTTTATTTCAGCAATATATATTAATTAATACTTTCCAATTTTTACCACCCCTATACTATTCATTCCCACCAACCCCCATAAAATTTCAGACAAGATTATGGAGCACAATAATAATAATAAAGTCCACCTCCCGCGTTAGTGAATCTCGACCGTTGAAGTCAACACAAAATCAACGGCCAGGATCAATCCTCAACAAACTCATGCGAAAGCCACCTACCAAAATCTTAAAACGTAAAAATATTTTTTTAGTCCTCCGCAATTTCTCTATTTAAAGCCACATACCTTTTACAAACCCCATTTCAACACCTCCCTCACCACCTAAATTATATTTATATTAATAGTTAATTAAATAAATAAATAAAAACACAGCACACACACTGAAACGGGAAATTTGGTGGTGTTTTGTTTCTTGTGTGTGTGTGTGTGTTTTTTGCGAGACGAATTGAAGGTGGTGATTTGGGAACAGTTGATCAGTAATTTTAATATAATCAATGGCGGCGGCGGCGGCGACTGAGAACGGGCACCACAACTCGAACGGGTACTGCGTGAAGCAGAAGGATCCGCTGAACTGGGGTTTGGCGGCGGAGGGGCTGAAGGGGAGCCACCTCGATGAGGTGAAGAGGATGGTGGAGGAATTCAGGAAGCCGGTGGTGAATCTAGGCGGAAAGACGCTAACAATAGCACAGGTGGCGGCGATCGCCGCCACCGATAATGCTGTGGCGGTGGAGCTGGCGGAGGCGGCGAGGGCCGGCGTCAAGGCCAGCAGCGACTGGGTTATGGATAGCATGAACAAAGGAACTGACAGCTACGGTGTCACCACCGGATTCGGTGCCACGTCACACCGCCGGACCAAGCAGGGTGGCGCTCTACAGAAGGAGCTTATTAGGTCAGTAAATTAATTAATTAATTAAAAATATCATTTTTTTTTTGGCGTTATTATTATTAATTTCTTATTTGATTATTTTTTTGCTATATTTGCACAAAAAATCTGCACTGAATGATTTTTGGCACTAACTATTTATCATGAAACAAAGTACAGTCTCTATTTTTGTCCAAATATAATGCAAGCCACGTGGCATAATTGTGTAATAATTTTTTCAATACATTTTTACGTACATGTATATATCACCGCTATAAAAATAAATTGTTGATTATGTCATAATTAAAGAAGCAAGATTAGGGGGTTTTAATTGTTAACTAAATTATCCTTTTTGTAGCCTTGAAATAAGTAAATTGATTTTTGATAGTTATTATTAGTATATGAGTTTATTACGTTCAGATCCATGAATTAATTAATTGAAAGATTTTATTTTTCTTTGGTGCAAGAAAAATATTTAGTGCTTCTAGATGTGGATGTAGTTAATGTGTCGAGTAATTTTCAAAAAATTATTTTTGAAAAAATAAATAAAAAATAAACCACTTAAATATCAGTATCTAGCTGTCCAGGAGTTGACGGTTTGGTGAATTTTAATAAGTCGGAGGCCACTTATTATTTGAATAAGCTACTCTCATAAAATAATTGTGATCACTTTCCAAAACCAGATCTCACACGTGTTTAGTGAACTGGTCGGTATACCGAATGCACCTATATCGATATCGTATTCCATTTTATTTTATTTTACCTAATTTTGCGTGTATTTATTTATCTTCCTATTTTATGTAGTTGGCATTTTGTTTTTAGAGATTAAGAAAGTCAAAAAATATGCATGAATTAAAAAAAATTTTTTACTAAAATACACTTGACATTAATTACTTTTCATCGTAGCTAACTGAATATATTTTTAACCAGATTCTTGAACGCCGGAATATTCGGAAATGGAACGGAATCTTCCCACATGCTACCGCACTCCGCCACAAGAGCGGCTATGCTCGTCAGAATCAACACCCTCCTCCAGGGCTACTCCGGCATAAGGTTCGAGATCCTCGAAGCCATAACCAAATTCCTCAACCACAACATCACCCCATGCCTCCCCCTCCGCGGCACGATCACCGCCTCCGGCGACCTCGTCCCCCTCTCCTACATCGCCGGATTTCTCACCGGCCGCCCCAACTCCAAAGCCGTCGGCCCCAAAGGCGAACCCCTCACCGCCGACGAAGCCTTCACCCTCGCCGGCGTCGCTGGCGGCTTCTTCGAGCTCCAGCCCAAAGAAGGCCTCGCGTTAGTCAACGGCACCGCCGTCGGTTCCGGCCTCGCCTCGATCGCGCTCTACGAGGCCAACGTCCTCTCTCTCCTCTCCGAAGTCATGTCCGCCATCTTCGCCGAAGTAATGAACGGCAAACCCGAGTTCACCGACCACCTAACGCACAAACTGAAGCACCACCCCGGCCAGATCGAAGCCGCCGCCATAATGGAGCACATCCTCGACGGCAGCGCGTACGTCAAAGCCGCCGCGAAACTCCACGAAACCGACCCGTTACAGAAACCGAAACAAGACCGTTACGCGCTCCGAACATCTCCGCAGTGGCTGGGCCCGCAAATCGAGGTCATCCGTACGGCCACCAAAATGATAGAGAGAGAAATCAACTCCGTCAACGACAACCCGCTGATCGACGTTTCTAGAAACAAAGCCATCCACGGCGGAAACTTCCAGGGAACCCCGATCGGAGTCTCCATGGACAACTCGAGGCTCGCCATCGCCTCCATCGGGAAACTAATGTTCGCGCAATTCTCCGAACTCGTCAACGACTTCTACAACAACGGCCTCCCGTCGAATCTCTCCGGCGGCCGGAACCCTAGCCTCGACTACGGCTTCAAAGGCTCGGAAATCGCCATGGCTTCGTACTGCTCCGAGCTCCAATTCCTCGCGAACCCGGTCACGAACCACGTCCAGAGCGCCGAACAACACAATCAAGACGTGAATTCTTTGGGCTTAATCTCTTCCCGGAAAACAGTCGAAGCGTTGGATATATTGAAGCTGATGTCGTCGACGTACCTAGTCGCACTCTGCCAAGCAATCGATCTCCGCCACCTGGAGGAGAATCTAAGGCTCACCGTAAAGAACACCGTAAGCCAAGTTGCTAAGAAAACCCTAACAACGGGGTCCACCGGAGAACTCCATCCGTCGAGATTCTGCGAGAAGGACTTGATGCGCATAGTCGACCGCGAATACGTTTTCGCGTATATAGACGACCCATGCAGCGGGACCTACCCATTGATGCAGAAGCTTCGAGAAGTTCTCGTCGAGCACGCATTGAAAAACGGCGAAAACGAGAAGAATGCAAACACTTCGATTTTCCAGAAGATTGGAGATTTTGAGGAGGAGCTGAAGGCCATCCTGCCGAAGGAAGTGGAGAGTGCTAGGGTTGCGTTGGAGAGCGGGAACGCGGCGGTTGGGAATAGGATAACGGAGTGTAGGTCGTACCCGTTGTACAAGTTCATAAGGGAGGAGTTGGGGACGGGATTATTGACGGGCGAAAAGGTAATTTCGCCCGGGGAGGAGTGTGAGAAGGTGTTTGTGGCTTTGAGCAATGGTTTGATTGTTGATCCTTTATTGGAGTGTCTTCAAGGTTGGAATGGTGAGCCTCTTCCTATTTGTTAGGAGTGAATTTTCATTTGGAGACTATTTAACTTTTATTTTTATTTTTTATTTTAATTTTAATTTTAATATGTCTTTGTGGTTAAAGACTTATTATTTTTTGTTTGTTATTGTTGTTATGTTCTTTTGTTGATTTGAGGTTGGTGGTTAAATGTGATTTGTTTGTAAGGTGAAATAAGATGTAAAAATTTGGTGGAATTTATTTGGAGTATATGCTTTTTAGAGTGGATAAATTCGTAAATAATTGAGTGTTGGGTGGCACTTGGCAGGCTGCAGCATCAGTTTCCGAGGAAGATTTATATTTACAGTTTACTGGATTGGATTTTTTAACTAATTCTGACACGATTTCATGTGATTTGAAATTTTTCTGATAATCAATTCTGAAATTATTTATCCGAATCAGTAGCGGACAAGTTGATAACGGAATCATGTTTTTTCCAATGTGAAAATTTCATTTAAATTTCATTACTATGTGCAGAAAAAATGACCGTTTCGTTAAATTGGATTGTTTTTCATATTTAGTAAAATTTAAAACATAAAATTGAAGTGAAAAAATATATCAAGTTATTTTATTTATTATATTATAATATGTGCAGAAAAAATGATAGTTACTAAATCTGAAAGGGCAAATCATCCGAACTAGAAAGGGATGTGATAAATGTTTGTTCGAGCTTTAATAATATTGTTTCGACTTCAACGTGATTTTGATCATTTTTAATTCCAAATTTTGCAAAATCCGAAAAATAGAATTTGTAGTATTCTGAGTTATTTTTTTAATCCAAGTTGAATCACCAAAATTGGATGTCGAACGAGAAAGATATACATGAATCAATGAATACTGCCCACAACTTTGATGTATTGATGTATATAAAATTCAAAATGTGACTCCTTCATGCATAATTTTGTCACACATCATACAATCTAGCGAATTTAAGTTGAATTAAAAAGCTAATCCAAAGGACTACATTTTTCGTGTTTCGAATTTTGCCAAAATCAAAATAGAAATATGTCGAAATCAAATTCAAAATCAAAACGACATTAGTAAAATTAAAACGATATTTAACATTTCAGAACTAGAAAACATGATCATAACAGAGTACCTTGAATTTGTCCCGCGCATTTGCTCAAAAGTCAACACAACCCCTTCTTCTTCCACAATTTTTGTTATATCAGAATATTCACTTCCAACAATTATTAATAATTCCTTCAATAAAAAAAAATAGAAACAGGCACACCATAAACTGTTATACATTTGAAGATTTAACGAAAACACCGTCTCATTTGTAAGCCGGTCCATTACCCGAACCCCGAATAATGGCATCCCTAATGGTGAGAGTGAGACGGCTGGTTCAGTCCCGGGCAAACGGAATATTCTCCCACCGGAGCTTCTCATCGCCGGCGCACCCGATCCCCGTCACCCTCATCCCCGGCGACGGCATTGGCCCTGAGATCGCCGACTCCGTCAAACAGGTACCCCCAATTATGTCATTTCCAATTTTTAGTCCATTTTATTCGTTTTATTAGTAGAATTGATTTTATAAAGATACGCATACATTTCAAATCCTTAATTTACCTCTATTTTAGATCATTTTTTTGTATTTTTTTTAAATTAGAAAAACATTTAAATACCTATTTTCCGTATATTTACAAATCGGTTATATTTTAGATTATCTAAATAAATTACAGTTCACTCCCAACTCCCAAGTGAATAAAAAAATATTACAATTAAACCCCTGATAGTATTAGGGAAAATTGGTAATTTGAAAGGAATATTCTTGAAATTTAAAAGATTCTTTTATTATTGGGTGTTTTCGTATATTGATGTTACCTCATGACGGTATTGGTAATTCATTCTTTTGCTTCATGAATTATTCACATAATTTAATAATCATTTGCAAATTACTAGCTGATGAAAAATATTTATATTAATGTTTGTATGAAAATTGAAAAAAAATATATTTGAATAAATGCAGACATACAAAAATTATAATTTACAAATATACCCTTATACTTTTAATATTTACACGTCTCGCTCATAAATCAGGTGTTTACAACCGCCGATGTGCCAATTACATGGGAAGAACAATACATGGGCGAGGAGATAGATCCTCGTACACAAAGCTTTCTGACACGGGACAATGTAGAATCCGTGAAGAAAAACAAATTCGCTTTGAAAGGGCCAATGACTACACCAATCGGAAAAGGCTTTCGATCTCTCAATTATCTCACTATGAGGAAAGAGCTCAATCTTTACGCTAACGTTAGACCTTGTTTTAGCCTACCCGGCTACAAGACGAAATACGACAATGTCGATCTCATCACTATTCGCGAAAATACCGAAGGCGAATACAGTGGACTCGAGCATGTAGTAAGTTATTACACGTGTGATATATTATTCGAGTGTTAATTGCATTTAGCACCCCTTGTATTTTACTCTATTTGTTATATATAATACGGGAAGTACTTTTTAACAATTTGATAAAACACCGGGGTGTTGTATGCAATCACTGGCGGAACTTTGATAGGGCATGGGGGGCCGTTGAGCCCCCAAGAAAAAAAAAATTAGATATTTGGTACTAAATTTTTTGAATACTACTATTGGCCCCCCAAAGTTTTTGTAAATATTTATCTTGATCCATTATTTTTTTTGTTTTTCAACAAAATCTTATATAAATTATAGATAAATATATCATATTTAATATAAAATATAAAATAAGATGGTTAAAACTTGTATTATTTTAAATAAAATTTATGAATATTACTTATATTTGAATTTTTTTTATCTAACGCCTTAAAAAAAAAGATGAGATCGTGCCATGAATCTCCGAAATATTAAGTTCAGTATATTATTAGAATAATTTGAATTAATTTAGATTTTTTTGTGATGATTAAAATATATATATATATATATATATATATATATATATATATATATATATATATATATATATATATGATATTTTAATTAAAAATTTGTTATATAAACTTATTTTTTGCAATGTTTTGTGCACCTAAATTTTTTTCGAGGCGCTGCCCCAAACCCCAAAATTTTAGTTAGCCCCCTCTACATTTTGATCCTGGTTCCGCGCCTGTATGCAATAAACTCGAGATATTGCATGATATTATATATAATTGAAGCTGCTCCTTTTTTCTTTTTCTTTTTTTTTTAATCTAGGTGGTGAAAAGGTGTTGTGGAAAGTCTAAAGATTATTATTACACGACATGCGAGTCTTAGAGTTGCGGAGTATGCTTTTCGGTACGCAAAGGAACACGGTCGAGAAAGAGTATCTGCTATACACAAAGCCAATATCATGCAGAAAACTGATGGTCTTTTCCTTAAGGTATATATAGTGTATATATATATATGTGTGTGTGTGTGTGTGTGTGTGTGTGTGTGTGTGTGTATTTGATTATATTTCTCTGCATGTTCTTGATTTTTCGACTAGTTGAATTTTGTTGTTCGACTTCTAGTGTTGTAAGGAGGTATCAGAGAAGTATCCAGAGATAAAATACGAAGAAGTTGTGATTGGCAACTGTTGTGTCGTGGTATACTATAATTAATTAATTAAAATGATTATTGTATTTTCATACAATTGTTATATATAGTAGTTGAATTATTAATGCTAATTATTGTGTTCGTGATATATATTCGTGTGTACGTACAGCTTGTGCAGGATCCATCGTTATTCGATGTTCTGGTGATGCCCAATCTTTACGGTGACATAATCAGCGATCTTTGCGCTGGTTTGATCGGAGGATTGGGATTAACTCCGAGGTGTATATATGTAGAATATAATAAGGCGAATCCGACGGCATTACTTTTGAGTGGAGTGATGATGTTGCGGCACATGGATCTTCATGACAAAGCTGATCGAATTCAAGAAGCTGTTTTTAAGACGATTGCGGAAGGCAAGTACAGAACAGAGGATCTTGGCGGTAAATCTACTACAACTGATTTCACCAAAGCGATTTGCGATCATCTTTAATTTGAGTACTGTTGATCTCAATAATGGTACGTTTATTTATCGAATGGGTACTTTTGATTTCTGCAACATTTCGTTGCCATGCAAAATGACTAGTAAGTTTGGTGCATCTCATTATATATTCGTGTTCCTAGCTTGAATAGTTTGTACTATAGTATATATAGAGTGGATACTTTGAGCAAAAAAGAACAACACAAAATTGATGAAATGCAGTTGTAATTCATACAAGAGACACTCAATTGTAGGTCTGTTTGTGTATGCAAGAGAATTAACGAATTTATTTTTATTTTTATTTTATTTTTTACAATTGTTTTAAGAGCTTTGGCTTTGTTAGTTTTATTTCGTGCAAATAATTATATATTTGTGTCAAATTCAAATTTTCCTTACTACTCTTTTAGTGATATGTAACTGAACATTTTTTTTCTTCTGGATGATACGTCTCCAAAATCCAGAATAAAATGTCCAGTGATGTTTGATTCAAATCTTGAAACATTAAATTACGAAAAGTATATATGATTTAATTTCAGGAATTATAACGAACAAACGTAACACATTGTCAGTTGTTTGAAATGTTACGGAATAGTCGGAAAAGAAAACGGCGAAAACAAATTACTCCATACCATACGATAAGCATGTTTACGAAGTAATAAAATCGTGCAAAACCAAGATTTCTTTACTAATAGTCTTAGTTTTGTTGTTAGGCATGAACTCTACAATATATATATATATATATATATATATATATATATATATATATATATATATATATATATATATATATATATATATATATATATATATATATATATATATATATATATATTGTAATTCGGTTATTTATCGAACCATATCGTATATTTAGTTGGCTTTTACAGTATGAAATGTTGGCGTACCAAAATTTCAGTTCGGTTTTACCGATTTAACATCCCTAAATTTACCTATAGGTGGATATTTTCATAAGATAATATATAGTTGAGAGGTAGCTGTAATTACCCAAACAATAGGGGAATTTTCATAATTTGACTATAACTCAAAGGTGTGGCCGTAATTTGCCCTAGTTAAACACCATTTAAGCCCAACCAATTCCCTCCTTAATGAAAGGCCTATTACGGAAGCCGCTCCGCAACTCGATTTCCTCTCGGAGTGCTCGATTTTTTCGTTACAATGAACAACGAACCATTCCGGTCAACCGTTACCGACCTATTTTGCTGAGATCAGTTCAAAATCATTACCAATCCAACTTTCGTTGCCTGTTGCAAATTGCAATCGGTCGGTTAATAATATCCGCTCACCAAATTCGTAGTACTATTATGCCAATGTTGATTGAGCATATTAAATTCAATTTGATTTAGTACTTTGTCTATCAATTCTTAAAACAAAAAAAATTAAATCAAGTGGACAAAAACTTTTTTTGTTTATTACTTTTAATAATTACATAAAATTGTAGTTGACTTGCTTCTTCAAAAGTCAAAAACTAAGTAGGCAATGAAATTTTCTTTTTATCTTTTTAGCAAAGTCAGAATAATATCACCTTTTTAACTGTTATTTAAAGCTTATATCTACAAAAACAAAAACAAAAACTTTAATTTATAGCAAAATCGACGAACTGATCGTAAATTGAGAGATCAAAAGAATGGCATCGCAAGAAGAAGGAGTCGTCGAACCATCCACCACGCAGTGCTTCGCTGAAGATGCGATGAGAATCTTAAAACAGCAACTAGATTTAATTTCAGAGGTGCGCGACCGAGCTTCTAATTAATTTCCATTTCGTTCAATTTAATATAACTAGATTTGATGTGTCCCGTTAATTAATTAGTTTTTCGATCATTTACCGAGATAATTTACCTAAAAATGTATTTTTAACAAGCGTAAAATTATTATGGGTTGGCGAAATGAGATCAGATGCTTCAAGAAAATGATGTGGATCAGATGCTTGAAGAAAATGACGTGGCGGCAAATGATTGGACATCAGTAGACTTTGCGGATCCTGGAAGCCGTAGTATTGTAGTGAAGCCTATGCAGGTGAAGTTGAAAGGACCAATGATGTCACAAATTCGAACCGTGCCACGCCGTATCGATCACTCATTACTATGTGCGCAAAAACGGTGTATACTCAAAGTGTCCAAAATCGCGCCGGTGATCGAAATATGATTTTAAAACGACGTACTTGTGGTTCGTAATAAAGTAATTTGTTTCTTCTGTTTGTATTTCGATGGTTGTTGATTGCTCGTTAGTTATATTTATCTGGAATGTGAAATGATATGTGAAATAAGATGTTGGAATTGTCGAAATTTTCATTTGAATATAAATTGTTCGGTTGCGTTTGGAATGAATTTGATTCTTCCTAAACAACACGTCGATCTCTTCATTAACTAAATTAATTTATTTGCAAACAACAGAACCAACTCTCCATGAAACGACTCTTAAATTTCTATAAATAAGACAAAATCTGGTCAGTGATGCATACGATTTAACAAGACGTTTAAGAAGTCATTCTTGATATTTTTCTATCTAAATTTCATTACTACTATTCGAGTTCGCCGTGGGCTTCGAATTTGTGCAGATATCGAAGTTTCCGACTAAAATCTAACCGTTCTCAGCCCAAACCAAATCGATTCTCGGCCGTTCGATTTAATGCGTAAATAAAATTTATAAATATGTCATTGACCATGGAATTAAATTTTATAATCCCAATAGATGATACTGTTTATTGAACATGTTAAATTAAATTTGAATTAGTAAATTAAATCTAGTGGGCCAAAACTTTAATTTTTATTTATTTATTTATTTGTTTGTCACTATTTATCCATTGAAAGGACAATCGCTTATTAAACAAAGCCAACGACTTGTCCCGCGCATTTGCTCATAAGTCAGAACACGACCCCTTCAGCTTCCACATTCTTTATTTATTATAATAAATACAAATATATTTCGTACAGCAATCAAAAATAATTATTTGATTCCTTCTCCAGAAGAAGAATAAATTAAAATTCAAAAAAAAAAAAAAAAAATCGATACAGGTAAGCCACTAACTGTCTATTTTAAGCACAATCTAACTGGTAAAATGTTACTACATTTAATTTGTTGGAACAATGGCATCGCGAATGCTAAGGCGACTTCCGTCCCGGGCCCACGGAATATTCTCCCACCGGAGCTTCTCATCCCCGGCGCACCCGATCCCCGTCACTCTCTTCCCGGGCGACGGCATTGGCCCCGAGATCTCCGACTCCGTCAAACAGGTTTCTTATATATTTGTTCACGTTTCCAAATTTTCTATATAAAATACGAAATGCGCATGATTCGATCACCACCCGGTGAAATATATATATATAATTCAGGTGTTTACGGCGGCTGACGTGCCGATTAAATGGGAAGAACAATACGTGGGGAATGAGATCGATCTTCGTACTCGAAGCTTTCTTACATGGGAGAATCTAGAATCTATGAAGAAAAACAAGTACGGTTTAAAAGGGCCGATGGCCACACCGATTGGGAAAGGCTTTCGCTCACTCAACCTCACTTTAAGGAAAGAGCTCAATCTTTACGCCAACGTTAGGCCTTGTTTTAGCCTCCCCGGCTACAAGACGAAATACGACAACGTCGATCTCGTCACTATTCGCGAAAACACCGAAGGCGAGTACAGTGGACTCGAGCATGTAGTAAGTTCACACACAAGATGTTAATTCATTTATTTAACATATGTGAGCTTGATACTATAAATGAGTCGTTTATTGTATATTCAGTACCCTTGTGTTATATCGAATTGCTGAAAAACTCTCAATGTTCATAATATTAGCAAAAAAACCCCTTATAATGTTTTTTTAGCACAAAAACCCGTAAACACTGAGATTTTAGGGTGTAGTGTCCTAATTTTAACGTAACGTGGGCCGTGGGGAGTTTTTTTGTAACAATTAGAGAAATTACAGGGTTACGGAATGTATTTATATATAATTGAGTCACTTTTGATTTAAATCTAGGTGGTGAAAGGTGTTGTGGAAAGTCTAAAGATTATTACACGGCATGCGAGTCTTAGAGTTGCGGAGCATGCTTTTCGGTACGCAAAGGAACACGGTCGAGAAAGAGTATCTGCTATACACAAAGCCAATATCATGCAGAAAACTGATGGTCTTTTCCTTAAGGTATAGTGTGCGCGTGTGCGCGTGTGTGTATTTGATTATATTTCTCTGCTTGTTCTTGATTTTTCGACTAGTTGAATTTTTTTGTTCGACTTCTAGTGTTGTAAGGAGGTATCAGAGAAGTATCCAGAGATAAAATACGAAGAAGTTGTAATCGACAATTGCTGTGTCATGGTATAATTAATTAAACGTTTTTTTTTTCTTTAATTTCGTATTCTATACATGGTGCAAGTTAGTTCAATTGTAATGGTTAATTAAGTTAACGATATTCGTGTATGTACATACAGCTTGTGCAGGATCCATCGTTATTCGATGTTCTGGTGATGCCGAATCTTTACGGTGACATAATCAGTGACCTCTGTGCTGGTTTGATCGGAGGGTTGGGATTAACTCCGAGGTATATATTATTTCATATATGTTTGCAATAATTATATTAATTAGTTAAGGAAATTAAATTTTCTCATTTGGTTTGTTGGGATATTAATTAGCTGCAATGTTGGTGAGGGAGGTATTGTTCTTGCTGAGGCTGTACATGGCTCTGCTCCTGATATTGTTGGAGAGGTAATTAATAATTACTAATTTGTTCATTTTAAAAATATATAAATATTAATATATATGTATAAATATGATGCATGTATGTAGAATAAGGCGAATCCAACGGCGTTGCTTTTGAGTGGTGTGACGTTGTTACGGCACATGGATCTTGAAGACAAAGCTGATCGAATTCAAGAAGCTGTTTTTAAGACGATTGCGGAAGGCAAGTACAGAACATGGGATCTTGGCGGTAAATCTACTACGACTGATTTCACCAAAGCGATTTGCGACCATCTTTAATTTCAACTGTTGATTTTAATAATGGTACGTTTATTTATTGAATGGTACGTTTAATTTCTGCGACATTTCGACGCCATGTATGCAAGAGAATTAATGAATTCATTTTTATTTTATTTTTTAATACAACTGGATGTTGTTGTTTTAAGAGCTTTGATTCGGTTTTTTTTTTTTTTTTCCGTGCAAATAATTATATATCTGTGTCAAATTCAATTTTTCCTTACTGCTCTTTTAGTCTAAAACCCAGACTAAAATGTCCAGTGATGTTTGATTCAACAAATCTTGAAACATTTAATTAAGAAAAGTAGAAAAGTATGATATAATTTCAGGAATTATATATACGAACAAACGTAACAGATTGTTAGTTGTTCGAAATGTTACGGAATCATCAGAAAAGAAAATGGCGAAAACAAATTACCCCGTACCATACGATAAGCATGTTACGAAGTAATCAAATCGTGCAAAACCAAGATTA